CACAGAGGTGACAACGTGGTGTTCTAAGTCACGCTTAGAACACGTGCTTATGAGTGACACGATCAGTGGAATTCATGCCTTCACACTCACAGCTTGTGGACGTTTCCATGACACCATCGGTATTCTTAAAAGCCTGTCATCCTCTACACCACTCACAAGATTTGATAGAATTAGGTGGGTCTCAAAACTCAGTATCCATCAGTAGGTGAAAGAGTTGGCTGAGTTTCTTGATTGGGGGAGAGAGAGAAGGAAGCCAGCTTGAAGAAAGTCCCAGAAAATGACTCAGGTCTACATCTTTGCTTCTTAACACCTTTAATTCTGCCACTTCAATCCCTCTGGGTTGTGGGTTGACTTTGAGGGTTGCAACCTCAGCAATCTTGGTCACGTTGGCGTGGCCAGTCTGGCTCTAGTATGCTGTTAGGCAGCAGTGGGATGCTCAGTGGTCAAGATCAGGCCACTGATAGGATGTCTCACAATATCAGAGCAAAGCAGAGGCACTCTTGCCATAGAAAATTAGGCCCTGACCTTATTACTAATAGCAGTTTGTCCTTTCCTGCTAACCATGGTCTTCCCGTATATGTTTACTCCTTTAGTCACTTTCTTTAATCCTGACAGTCTCTCACACTGTGGAAGCTCCAAGGTCTACTTTCTTAACCTGGCTCTGCTTTTTTCCCCTCTTGAAATTGGAATATGGACAGTAGAGTTGTGTTTTTAGGCGTCTGGTGATAGTTACTCTACTAGGCAAGATTCCTCAGGCCATTACTTAAGATTATTTTTCTCTCTGCATTTTTCTTCATTTGTCATATGAGGCAGGTTAACATGAATGACAACCACAATCACTTGACAGAGTGAAAAGAATTCTAAGTAATGAGAAAGCTGTGCACTTGGCTGTGTGTGTGCATGCATGTGTAGAGAAGATTGTGGTGGGTGGTCTGTAAGGAAGCTGAACATATATTGTTCAGTAAACAACATAATTGAGAATGAAAGGGGCATGTCAGAACATAAAACATGAGCCAGAACTGTCCCAGGCACTGAGATATATAGGCAACCTGTCCATAGAGCATTTATCTCATGCAAATAGTCTACCGACAAGTTTGAGGACCATTGGCTTAGATGCACTAAGGACTTTGGGAATCTTTGTTCAGGGGCTGTAAGTCTAGAGAAATGAGCATGCCTGATCCTGCTCATGTTCTAGTGCATGCCCTTCCATTCATTTGGGATTCCTTGCAGTCTTTTTGGCCCACATTTTTTCATAGCTAACTCCCACTTGTCTTTAGGTCTCACCTTTAGTGTGACTTACTTAATGGCACTATCTCTCAGGAAACATCACTGAGATTTCTATGATAAGTGAGCTCTCTCTCACTCCTAAGGGTTCCCATGACAACCTGTGATCCCCAAGAAAATGCCCAGGACCCATTACACACATCATGGCATTAGGCTGACAGCTGCTTGAAGGCAGGACCCGTGCTGGGTTCACCATTGATTTCTTAACACTTAACTTAGTGTCTGACATGCATTTGGTATTCAGTTAATACTTTTTAAATGAAAGCACTATAACATTAATTGTTGGTGACATAATGGTGGGAATAGATTCTCCAGGGAGGAAATGAGAGAAACAAAGTTTGTGTTAATAATAAAGAAGAAGAAGAAGAAGAAGAAGAAGAAGAAGAAGAAGAAGAAGAAGAAGAAGAAGAAGAAGCAGCAAAGTATCTTGGTATCTCTGAAGGATAATTCAGGACATGTAGGAGTTTTGGAACTCTAAACTTGTGAGAGAGAAAATTTCAGCCAAGACACAGTTACAGAGGGTGTGGTGTGGTGAGGTTGGATGCACCAGGCTGGGTGCTGGGAGAAGTGAATGCTGGGGCTGGTTTTACCACTCTCCCTCCCTTAGTGGGTGGCTTGGAGAATCCCTTCATCTTTGTCTGCCTCACTTTTCTTATCTGTAAAAGGAAGAAATGGAGGCAGACTAGATCCATGCCAAAATCTTGTCCCACTCCAAAGGTTTATGATTTTAGGACATATTGCAAAAACCAGGCAACTTAGTGATAAATTCTTATAGCTCTTGTTGCATTTGAATTATTACTTACATTTCCATTTCATTCTTTTAAACTTCCAAGTGACAAAAACATGCAGTATTTTCTACATGGGAACTGTAACTAAAATTGTCTTTGTTATACTCATCTGAAGGTTTTCATGAAGACCAAAGAAGTTATCTCTGTAATGAAGTGATAATAAAATGAAAAAAAGTCTGTGGCAATTTTAGCACTCTGAGCAGAAGTCATTAGAAATGTAAATTTACTTTGTAGGTCTTACTCATCTCTACTCTTATACCCATAATTTTTATAGTATTTGTTACTAAAATGGTCCATGTTGAATCTGATGCTTTTTCCTGTGTGTGTAGCTCACATTGCTAAGGTCTGCTTAAATGCTTTGACTGTCTTATAGCATGGGGAGGTGGCCACTCACTGTGGCCCAATCATCCCTTTGAACTACCTTAGCCTAGATAAGCTCTGCAGTGTTTTAGGGTCACTTGGGACCAATCACTGAACAACTGATCATATTTATCCGACAATATCTGATTAAGGACTTAGCAGGTAATTGTTTGCTTCTATAAAAATTTCCATGTTCAGACCTTCCCTTCTCTCTCTCTCTCTCCCTCTCTCTCTCTCTCTCTCTCTTTCTCTCTCTCTCTCTCCCTCTCTTTCTCCCCTTCTCTTTCTCTCTTCCTTTCTATCTTTCTGCAGTGCTTTAAATCTTTATTGTTGAAAGTATTTGTCCAGACCTTTTCTGATACCTTTGTCAAGCATTAAACAGCATTGTTGTCTCTGGGACCTCAGCTATTAAAGGCTGCATAAACTTCCTCAACCTGAAGGAGAATTTTCTGAGAAAGGAGATAGCACATGGATGGCAGGCAGACCTGTTGGACTCATGCACTAAGGATTCTCATGCAAAGGAAGGGACTCTGGAAGGAGGGTTTGCACCCATGAGAAAGCCTCAGATGTCAGGCGTGCTCTGATTAACATTCTCCAACAGAAGAATCTATATCTTGAATTGCAACACAGTGGTAACTATGTTGTGTAATTAACTGTACTAAAAGCCACCAGAAGCTTGTACTCAGACAGAACTACTGAGACTAAGTGTATCTCAAAATGTCATAATGAATAAACTTTGGTGAGACAAAATGGTAACACAAACATTTCCTTACTTTTGGTATACTTTGAGGTGTTTGTAGTCAAACTCCCTCAGCAGAGTTTTCCCAGGTCTTAAACAAAGGTTTTCTACACAAAGGAAGTCAAACAGTTAAAAATAAAGTTTGTTATTGATTATGCAAGATTATTGGAATTTCTCTCCTTGAGGGTAGTGAATGAATGCATTCTGGGAAGAACTACTTGTGTTTGTTAAAGCACAATTGGTATGTTTCAGATTATTATTAATGTGATTAGGCCTCAGTTGTTGAAGCTTTGAGAAGTTTACAGGGATCTGAGCAGAGACTTCTGTATTTGGTGAAAAAACAGATCATTCAAGCTTCTCAATCTGGTCGAGAAATAGCTCATGTTGACAAACTCAGTATTATCAATTTTAAATTTGCTCCTGAACAAAAGACTCCCTAGAATCTTTTGTGAATTTTCTTTTTATTTCCTCATGATGGACACACTGGTCCGAATACTCTGCATGCTCCCATTTCTGTCTCATTTCTGTTTCCCATGCTGATCCCTGAGACTGGAGGTGTGCAGAGTATTTGGCCCTTGACTCCACCCCACAAGAAAGAGAATAAGGCTGTGGACCTTAAGAACGTGTGAGCTATCCACCCTGACTTAAGATGGCCTTGAGATAGGTTTGCAATGAGAATGCTGATCTGAGTATACTTAGCTGTGCTTGTTAGGGACATAAAGTAAAGGAGGAAGAAGTCTTTGGAAGTGATCAGTGAGCACGAACAGGGTCACAACCTGGGTGACTTAATTCGGAAATGTGTTCTCTCACAGTCCTAGAGGCCAGAAGTCTGAAATAAAGGTCTCAGCAGGGCCATCTTCCCTCTGCAAGACTATTCCTCACCTCTCTCTTGGCTTCTGGGTTGCCAGTCATCCTTGGTGTTCCTTGGCTTGTAGAAGTATCACTCCAATCTCTGCCTGTTGTCACATTGGTGTCTTCACATCATCTTTTCTCTGTGGCTGTCTGTCTCTGTCTTTCCTCCTTTCTTTTCTGATAAGGACACCAGTCATATTGGATTAGGACCTCAACTTGATTAAGATTCTATTTTCAAATAAGTTCACATTCACTGGTACCCAGGGGTGGGACTTCAACATATCTTTTGGGGGAACACAAATTCAGCCCATAACACCTACTAATAAAATTGCTATGATTTGACTGTTTTTGAAGTACAAAAATGCCAGTTTTGTATGCTTTCACATCAATCCTAATTGAAACAATATGGATAAATAAAGCCAACTGATTCTGTTCAGTGCCACCTGCTGAGGAAGAAGTGTGATCACCAGCTCCTGACAGTGGCCTTTGTGGCTGAGCATGATTGAATTTGAAGATTTCAGACAGAGCTGCTCACACCAAGGACCTCAAATACTGGGCCATTCAGACCTTAGGGCATTTGCCCACAAATATCTTTCTCACTGGCTTTTTAAATTGCATTTAGTGCAAAGTTCCTTCCTTTCTATTATCCAAGACCATTACTTTGTTTAGATGGATTTCTTTTTTTTTTTTTTTTTAGGATTTTTAATTGATTTTTAGAGAGAGAGAGAGAGAGAGAGAGAGAGAGAGAGAGAGAGAGAGAGAGAGAAAGGGAGGGGGAGAGAGAAAAAAACCCATAGATATGACAATGAAACATTGTTTGGCTTCACTCCTGCACACCCCCATCTCCCCTGCTGCATGGGACAATACCTAACCAACTGAGCCACACCAGCAGGGTTGTTTAGATGGAATACTTATTGGGTTGGCAGAATTCAGGTGAGAAAGCTTTAAAGACCCTTATCCTTTGTTTCAGGCCCATGATGGATGCCTTGCAACTGGCAAACTCTGCTTTTGCAGTTGACCTGTTCAAAAAACTCTGTGAAAAGGAGCCAGCAGGCAATGTCCTCTTCTCTCCAATCTGTCTCTCCACCTCCCTGTCACTTGTTCAAGTAGGAGCCAAAGGTGACACAGCCAATGAAATTGGACAGGTAAGCCCCACACCTTGTTTCTGCTTATTGAAAGACTAGAATTATTAGAACCCATGGTCAGTGCCTAAGGAAGGATGAATGGGGCTGTGTGGTCAGAGATGCTCATGATTGAGAGTTTGCCACTGCTAACACTTTCTCAATCTATTCTCAAATGCAAAAGAAAGCTTATTTATTTGTCCTGCAACCCTGGCACCATGTGTGATGGAGAACCTGGGGATGTTCTAGGTAATCACAAGTTTTCCACTAATGAGTGGCCTTTGGCAAGTCACCCAATATCTTTCTACCTGTTATACTGCAAGAATCAATCAAGGTGGTGTTTATAAAATGTTCCACTGCAAAACCCCAACCAAAAATAGTAGAAATCTATATCTACATGTAAGTACAACATTTATTTACAGCATAATCTTTATTATTTTTTACTGAGGTATAATGAAAATTCAATATTATGTTAGTTCAGATATCAATGATGATTAATATTTGTGTATATTGCAAAATGATAATCACAGTAAGTCTAGTTAACATCACATGTAGTTATAGATTTTTTTTTTGTGATGAGAAATTTCAAGATCTACTCTCTTAACTTTCAAATATGCAACACAGTATTATTAACTGTTTACACCAGGCTGAATATTATATCTCCATGCCCTATTTTATACCTGAAAGTTTGTATCTTTTTGCTCCCTTCACCCATTCCTCTCACCCCCACCCCATTTACTTTTAGATGGTAGGTGAACACCCCTCTAATTCCAATCTATAATTATTCTCATGTTGATTATCCTAGGTTCCGACTCTTTCTATGAACTCATAGCACTTAAAAAGGAACATCTTGTATCTACAAATGCCCAGAGTATGACTCATGAAGTCTTCTTTGGGTCCTGATAATTGAAGAGTTTACACTTGAAAGTGTGTGCATTTGAAAAAGAACCTTCAACTGTGGAAAGAGGAAATGTCTTTTCACCTGTCCTGCTCTCTCACCTTCCCCCACCCCCTCCAAAATCTCTACCCTATCTCCAATTACTCATTTTTTCATCTTCCACTAGAGGGGGAACAAAAATGACAACTTCCTGGGAGGTCTGTTCCTCAGTAATAATGATAAGGGTGATGTAGATGCAGTCGTTCCTCCAGCAGTAGTTACCTGATTTTAAAATTTTCTGGTCCTTTTACCTGTCAGCAAGCATGAGAGTTATGCACGGCCTTGGACTAGCCAATGTGACCTTATTATAGTGGGTACCATGTGCCTTTTTAGTGACCTTACCTGAGGTGTGGCCTCCAGGCACAGTTATGAGTTAGGAGTGAGGAGAGAATCGCCTTGTGCTGACATCACATTTTGAGGCACTGTGAGGCAGAGGAGATACTGGGCTATTGATTGGGACAAAAGAAAAATTAGGAACAAATGAAAAAAATTTAAGGCCTCCAGAAGATGACATCCTAGTTATAAATGGCTTAGAACATTTTGAATTGATATACTTGAGGTGTTTTATATATAATATCTGTAATCCTCATAACAACTCAGAAAAGCAGATATTCCTAGTTCAGTTTACAGAGGGAAGAGTGAAGCTGGGCAGAGCTGGGCTAGATTATATTTCAAGTAAATATAGGCTGGGAATCAAAGACCAGGTTGTCTGACTCTTGCCCACCCAAGGCAGCCCACCATTGATAGTAAATGACATATCAGCCCATTTGGCACTTGTCAGAGGAACTAAAGGGACTAGATAGATTCTCCTCTACCCTGGAATCTGATATCTGCCTAATGGTAGTCTCTTTTGCTATAATCTTTCTCTTCTTGTCTGAATTACATGGAAATTATAACTCAGTTTTATTCCTTTCCTTCCAAGTTTGGGGAGCCTCTGTGTGAGCATTAGAGGCATCATTTTGAAGAAAGGATGAAGTTTCCCAATAGTTAAATCCAGAGAAGATTATCTTCATGGCAGAGTTTCTCAATGGGGACAATTTGGCCCTCTTCCACATCCGGGATATTTGACAGTGTCTAGAGACATTTTTGGTTGTCACAAATGATACAATACCCAGATACTCAGGACAGTCCCTGAATCCACTCACCTGGCAACAGAAATATCCTGCCTGGAATGTTAGCAGGATCAAGGTTGAGAAGCCTTGCTTTGTGGGACAATGGAGCAGGGAGACACAGCATCCCCCACGGAGGAGGGCAGTTACCATGTCCCCTGCAGCAGTAAGACACACATTTCATGGATTGTGGATTTTTTTTCTCTTCACAGGTCCTTCATTTTGAAAATGTAAAAGATGTGCCCTTTGGATTTCAAACAGTAACGTCAGATGTAAATAAACTTAGTTCCTTCTATTCGCTGAAACTAATCAAACGGCTCTATGTAGACAAATCTCTGAATCCATCTACAGTAAGTGGTTCAATGCTATTAATAAGATTTAATTTTTTCCCAGGATTGGCATTGTCACAAGGTCAGACTCACAGCTTTTTTTTTTTTTTTTTTTTTTTTTTTCCTTTTTCCTTTTCTTTTCTTTTTTCTCCAGCAAAATTCACCTCTAGGATGCTTATTTATGGTTAAAGACTAATTGAAATAACTCAGCCCTAGTGGACAGGTTGAATATAGCGGGACTCAATTGTAGTCACATCTTCTAGCTCAAAATACAGAGAAGCTCATGGGCTTCTCTGGTCCCTCTCAAACACTCATATATCCTCCCCTTCCTCTTAGCTTCCTTATTTGGAGAAATGGAGAATGGAGTCACTAATAATTTATCTCCATGGATGCAAGACAGCTCAAGGTTCACACCTTTCTTCTTCTTTTTTTAAAAAAATATATTTTATTGATTTCTTACAGAGAGGAAGGAAGAGAGATAGAGAGCTAGAAACATCGATGAGAGAGAAACATCAACCAGCTGCCTCTTGCACACCCCCCACCGGGGATGTGCCCGCAACCACTGTACATGCCCTTGACTGGAATCAAACCTGGGACCTTTCAGTCCACAGACCGACGCTCTACCACTGAGCCAAACCGGCTTCCGCAACACACCTTTCTTCTTAAAGAGCAGAACACAAAGCCTCATTGTTTATGCACACAATGTTCATTTGATTTTCTCAAAATCAATAGGAAAAATAATAACTATGAATCAACAGTTCATCAGTCACACATTGTTTTTATTTCTTTTCTTAGGATGGTTATGAAAGAGTCTAAACAGGTAGTTTTGGGTATTTAATGCCAGCCATTTCTTGAAGGATACGGTACCACACTTAAATTTGATCCCAGAGTATAACATAAATATTTTAAAAATCTGTACTTGAAACATATAGCCAATATCCTAGATTACAAAGAAGTTCCTTCTCTGTTAGTAATATAGAGTTGATTTAATTTATGCTTAGATGGACAGAATTTTAAGCCTTCAAAAATCTAAGAGGTAGACTGCCAGTTAAATATTTTACCATTTACTTTCTGTAGTAGCTGTTTGAGAACATTGGTCACTAGACATTTATTCTTGTTGTTTTAAGTCACACATATACAGCCATTTTTTTCTTTCAACAATCACCCAGAGAACTGAAATAAAATATTGAGATGTGAGTTGGGACCTAAGTAGATAAATAATTTAAAAGCTCCCTAGAGAGTCCTTAAGGAGATGTTTAATACATGTTGTGGCTGGCAGTGAGGACTGTGGGGGTCATTAATCTTGTTGAAGCTCCGATGTTCTTGTGTGGTCCCTGTTCTCTCAGTCAAGGGCAACACAATCCCGAGGTTGGGTTGCAATGAACAGAATCAATTGGCTAAGGCTACAGCTGCTCTGAAGAAACCAATGAAGCCCATGTTAGGACATTTAGTCAGCTATGTTCAGTTTGGTTGAGCTTCTATTCAACATTTTGAATTATTTCAACCAAATCAGGAATTGCAAGGAATTTTATTTTAAGACTGCTTTCCATGGCTCATGTTGGTTGTATAGCAACTGAAAATTCACTCATAATAGTACAGACAAGTGTGGTATCAGGAGGGCCCCTTGCAGCAGAACTACCTGGGTGTTAAAAGTGCAAGCTCCTGCCGAAACCAGTTTGGTTCAGTGGTAGAGCGTCGGTCTGCGGACTGAAAGGTCCCAGGTTTGATTCCGGTCAAGGGCATGTACCTAGGTTGCAGGCACATTCCCAGTGGAGGGTGTGCAGGAGGCAGCTGGTCGATGTTTCTCTCTCATCGACGTTTCTAGCTCTCTATCTCTCTCTCCCTTTCTCTCTGTAAAAAATCAATAACATATATTAAAAAAAGTGCAAGCTCCTGGTCTCAGAGCACTTGAATCAAAGTCAATAGGGATGGTATTTAGGGTTTTTCATTTCAACAGCATTAGAATCAGAATCACCGCTATGTTCCCTATTGCACTGTTTAGACTTAGTGTGCATCTTGATAAAATGCGTGCTCTGATTCTGTAGGTCTGAGATTCTGCACTGCCAACAACGTTCCAAGTGATGTTGAAGCTTTGGTACTTGGACCACACTTTGAGTAGCAAGAGCCTATAGAATATTTATTTCAGTGAGAATAAGAGTTTTCTGCTCATAAAGTTCTCTTTTCTGTACATTTCTTCTATTCTAAGACACATAAATGTATGTACATTTTGATGTTTCTGAAATCATATTGTAACTGTTACACACATTCAACATGGTGTTTCTTTTCTAACCAAAGCTGATACTACATGATGAATGCATTTAACAATTGATATTGTCTTAGAATTGAAGGAATGAAGCATTCAATACAAAGAAAAGTCATTGACTTTTTCATGAGGTTTCAATTTACTGAATAGTGCAGATTTTGGAAGTGTATTCATAGTAATAGACACATAAAAGTTCTTTTGCGAGAGCCATGTAAAAATGTGATGGTTTGACCACAGACGGCAAATACTTTGTGATTTTATGAACTGGATGCTTTTCAGGAGTTCATCAGCTCCACGAAGAGACCCTATGCAAAGGAGATGGAAACTGTTGACTTCAAAGATAAATTGGAAGAAACGAAAGGTCAGATCAACAACTCAATTAAGGATCTCACAGATGGCAAGTATTTTTATCTACTCTGCTTATGAACTTATTTTCATAAATCTTTCTGTTAAGCAAAAACTGAACACCTGGGGGACTCCTGAGGTGTTTTTAGTACAGAAGCTAAATTCTTGCCCATCAAGCCATTTCAACAACATAGATTTCTGGACCTTTCCTCCATCACCTTATCACTTGGTAGGAATTCCTGGTGCTTTGGTTTTATTTAGGCAAGTATACCCCATACCCCCCGGGAGCCTCAGCTGTGCCTCTAACAAGTCTGGCTTTGGGCAAGTTTTGAGTCCAGTTTTTCATTGTGGACATGAAGGGCTTGGACTATCATTTGATGATCCCTGAGAACACTATTAGCTCAAACATTCTACAGGTTTTTTAAGGAAAAAGGGATAGAGAGTCTTAAGCAATCAAATATACATATAGCAAAAGTAAAACAAAAATAACCATAGTGGATGAAAATGTGTCCTCAATCCCATAACTCCCCGACCCAGTTGGCCCTCTGAGAGCCATTGGCTCTCATCTGCAGCATCTATCTGTCCTGCCTCTGGCTCAGCACTTCCCTCAGTCTCTCCTTTTTCTGAATCCCACCTCCATTAAAATTCTGTGAATCTTCCTTGTTGGAAAAGAGTTATAAGTAAGATGATTTTGGATGCAAGACAGTAGTCCACATCTCCGTTTTAATCACACATTTATATTCACACAGGGGACATAGCACCTCAATGTGAGGATATGAACAGTAGTGATGGGTTTGTCAGGCACCACTGCAGTCTGGTGAGCAATAGGCTTCTGAGACAGGGACACAAGCTTCCTGTAAGAATTGCCAGAGCCACCCTGTTGCTATGAGGACTCAGGAATGATAGAATCCATGCCATAGTTTCAAAGTGAGGATAGGGAAAAACATTGGCCTTGGAATCTTCAAGTCCTCAGATTCAATCTAGACACTGCCATTTACTAACTGAAGTGTTTGGCTACAGAGCCTCAGTTTACTGAACTATAACATGGGGTGTATGTTGTATAATTTAATTTTTACATGTTTTTGTTTTGTTTTGTGAGGATGAACTTAGATAATATGTGCTAATCAATAATGTATGGTAGCCAAGATGGTAGCCATAGGTTTGGATGCACACACACAAATGTATGCATGCAAATATATTTGTTATTGAAATGAAGTCCCTATCCTTTTATATGTAGAGAGAAAACTGGTATAACATCAGGTTAAACACAGTTATAAATTAAAAGCAGATTCTATTTAAATTGTTGTATAACAGTTTTGTTTTAGAATTTTTAAATAATAGTATTTTTCCTTTTTGGACCTTTGTTTTAAAATCTTCATAAATTTAAGGTTTTTACTGGAGATGGTAGTTCAGTGAAAAGGCCTCTGCACTTGGAATCTGGAGCTCCAGGTTTCAGTTGAAGCCCAGCTCCCCCACTTCTCTGGCCTTCGAGTTTCCTCGATGACATTATTACATATTCGACAAGTCTCGGAGCATTGGCAACAGCGGTGACATAATGCTCAGGTCCCAGAGCAGAGTGAAACTGCAGGGTCCTTTATTTAACAATGTATTAATTTTAAGATGGTGACAGACAAGCATTAACCAGTGAAGGGACCTTCACATGCAGGTCACACAGGCTGGTGCCGGGGGCCCAGAGATTAGGTAAATGGAAATCACTTGCAAAAAACACCGGTCCCATTCAAATAGGAGGGCTTAATTTCATTAGGGGGTTATCACCACTGAAGTATTCTGCTGTTGTGACTATGGCGACTACTGTTGCAAAGGAGCCTGCTGACCTTGGTGCCACCTGGCTGCCACGTGGGGAGAGGTGGGGGACTGTGGGTACAGAGCAGAATGCTGTCCTGGTTTTGACCTGCTTTTCAGCTGAGCAAGCTAGAAAGCTACTTGGCCTCTCTGAGCCTCAGTTTCCTCAACTATAAGATGGGGATAATGATCCTTGCCTTGGGGGATCACTGTGAGAGACATGCGCTGATACATGTGTCATCTTGGGCATGACTTTTCACCAAGTCGCTGCTTCCTCATCTGTAAAAAGGGGAGGAATACACAATCGTGTGTATACACATGTCCAGCATGTGGCATGGCTCAGCATGAGCGTTTGGTAACTTGTGTTTTTCTTCTTCCTCCTCTTTGGTTCTTTTTCCTCCTTTCCCCCTTCATTCTCCTCTTTAGCTACCTTTGTTAAGTCCAGGTGTGGGGAAATGCAAGGAGAGAAAGGAGTCCTGAAATGATGTGCTTTATCTCTCATACCCTCCCTGGTGTGGCTCTGGCAGGTATAGTAGGTGTAGTTGGAAAGAATAATCCTGTACAATTTGTGGTTTCTACAATTGTTTGCAGGCCACTTTGAGAACATTTTATCTAACAACAATGTAAATGACCAGACCAAAATCCTCATGGTTAATGCTGCCTACTTCATTGGAAAGTGGATGAAGAAATTTCCTGAATTGGAAACCAAAGAATGTCCTTTCCGAGTCAACAAGGTATGTGGGCAGCGAGTCAATAGGTCCCAACTATAGATTTGAAAATTACAGCCATAGAGGGACCATAGGAGTTCACCCCAGTGAGGGAACTGAAGGCACAGGGGTAGTGTGCCTTCCCTGTTAGAAAAAGAACCATAGCCCAGAGACTCTCTCTCTTCTCCAGAATGTTCTCAGAGTATGAGCCGAATGAGGGCTTATAAAGCTCACAGCCAAGTGGGTAAAGCTAAACCACCCACTGGAAAATGCCTACAAATATTAGGGACGATTCACAAGAAAGGCAAAGAAACAAACTAAATCCTAACCTCAGAGGCCTTTGAATCATCCCTGAAACCTGGGTCATTTGAGGATCTTGGTCCAGGTCAATACATTCCTCTGCTCTGTTTCTCATCTGCTCATAGTGAAGTCAATGGTTATTATATTTTAATGTATGAGGTGCTTTGAGGCAGTGCTGGCTGTGAGAAACCTGTTTTGCAGGAAAGTCTCATTAATACTCCTGGGTGAATAATGAGGTCATTTCCCATGTGAAAAAGAATTAATGTGATTAGGTAAAGTGCCTCTCTAGAAAGGAATTCAGAGAACTCTGACCAGAAAATTGACCTATTTCTTCTTTTTAAAAAATATATATTTTATTGATTTTGTACAGAGAGAAAGGGAGAGAGATACAGAATCACAAACATCGATGAGAGAGAGTCATCGATCAGCTGCCTCTTGCGCACCCCCTACTGGGGATATGCCCGCAACCAAGGTATATGCCCTTGACCGGTATCGAACTCGGGACCCTTCAGTCCCCAAGCCGACGCTCTATCCATTGAGCCAGACCAGTCTCGGCATGAAAATTGACCTATTTCATTCAAGGACCTAGGCCAACCCAGGAGTCTACATGATGATGATGTGATTTGGTCTCATTTAATGAGATATGACTGTGTTAAGAACTCAGACTGAATCCCAGGTAGCACAATACCTGAAGGGAGTGTGTTTACCTGGTAGCTCCTGTGCATTCATTCTAGTTTTCAAGTTTCTCTTAGCACCTTGAGCACCTAGCATTAATAATTTTTGTTTTTGCCAAATATTATAACAGCACCTTTTAAACACTAGAACCCAGGAAGAAAAGGCCTTCAAGATACAATTTATACCTGAGTTAGCTGAATTGGCATTTGGTACTTTTCTTTGCACCCACAAAATTTTATTTTTATTCCCACCTGAGGTGCACTTTCCAGAGTGAAATAGAATTATATACTTACTTATCTACATCCCTCTTGAGTGCATGGGCTTTGAAAAGGCAGAGATAATGCCTCATTCATCTCGGTTTCCAACTCCTGGCCCAGACCCTGAACATTTGTAGGTGCTCAGCAAATGTCAAATGAATGACCAATCTCTAAGGGTCAGTTTAAACAGTCAATAACAGACCAAACCTGATGCCTTTGTGACCACCATGGGTCCCTATACAAAATCTATTCAGCATTTCCATTGGGAGGGGACAATCACAGCTAAGAGGACTACCTACCTCCTCAAAAAACCCAGACATCCTAGGATGGGAGCCCGGCCTTCCCTCCACTTCCTCTTCCTAACTCACCTGACAGTGGCCTTCTCAAAGCTGCCTGCAGGGCAGGATTGACTCTGCACATAGACACCAGGCACAAGACATTTGACCCTTTAGACTATATTTTTCACATATAGGTTATTGGGTCTTAAACATGGCTTTGAAATTGATTGATCTCTCAGTGTTTCACCTAATAAAACAATAAAACAGGACTCAAAGGTGCGTGGGGACACACCCTCCTTTATAGTGCAGAGGTCATTACTTTCCCTTTGTTTCCTTTGACTTGCTTTTGTCAGCCTGTGAACTTTCTGAGGGACTTTACTGAGCTTCTCCTCATGTCTTGTGGTGTCTCCTTTAAGAACTAGACTAAACTGATGATGTCATAGTATTAAAAGTTTAGGGTAGTGTTTATTCTAACAAAGGTGGATACACACACACACACACACACACACACTTTTGTATTACTAACCTAAAATAAAAAGGCTTAATTAGTTTGATTTCCCCCTCCAACAAAGAAAGAGAAAAAACATTTGATGTGTTTTATGGAATTATAACAAGAACAAATTAATGCATATATACTAGTGTGTGTGTGTGTGTGTGTGTGTGTATATGTGTGAGTGTGAGTGTAGATATATGTGTCTATATATGTATGCATATGTGTGATGTGTTTATATGTATCTGTACATATAAAAGCATTAGTCATTGTCTTTCATGGAGGAAAATAAAATATATGCATGTGTGAATGAAAAAGGAAGCAGCCCAGATTTCTTTTCCTCTTCCAGACGGACACCAAGCCAGTGCAAATGATGAATCTAGAAGCCATGTTCTGCATGGGCAACATTGACAGTATCAACTGTAAGGTCATAGAGCTCCCCTTTCAAAACAAGCACCTCAGCATGCTCATCCTGCTGCCCAAGGACGTGGAGGATGAGTCCACAGGCCTGGAGAAGGTGAGGAAGGAGCACCAAGGTACCCTCTGTGTTGGCAGGGCTGTATGGTCAGCCTTGTGCGGGGCTGTCTTCCTTATGCCTCACCTGCTCTGTCATTTCCAAGGGTTTGCGGTCCTTTCAGGGCCTTTCTCTTTAATGTTAAAACAGCCAACATTTATTTGGCACTTACAGTGTGTTCAGAATGTAAATTCCTTGTGTGCATTACCTCATTTAACTCTCACAACAAGCTTAGGAATTAGAAACTATTACCACAGCCGTTCCCAGTGAGGGAGTTGAGGCCCAGAAGGGTAGGTAACTGGTCCATGGTAGGTAACATGGTCATCAGTGGTTTGTAGAATCAGATTTGAGCCCAAGAAGTTGAAATGTACTTAACTCCAGACTAGAGTTTCTTATCATTAGCAACTTGCATCAACACAGCATATTTGTTAAACAATTGATGAGTTAATATTAATATAGAATTATTTACTAAAGCCTACAGTTTATTTTAGGGCTCACTCTGTGATGTGCATTCTGAGGTTTTTTCCCTTGTTGATAATCCTCACCTGGAGGATATTTTCCCATTGATTTTTAGAGAGCGTGGAAGGGATGGGGAGAGACTCAGAGAGAGAAACATCAATGTGGGAGAGACACATGATAGGTTGCCTCCCGTACATACCTGGACCTGGGTGGGGATTGAGCTTGCAACCCTGGGATGTGCTCTTGACTGGAATCCAACGTGGGATCCTTCAATTCTCAGGCCTACACTCTATCCTCTGAGCCAAACTGGCTAAGGCACATTCTATGAGTTTTGAAAAGTTCTTTTCATTCATATGACATATATGAGATTTTATTATGCTTCATATTTCATATACGTTATCTGAGGCACGATATTAAAAGATGGTAAAAGTCTTACCTGCTTATGAAGGATGTAGTTTCCCCTCTGCTGGTCAGCTGGTCCTGTGGCCCACTGCTCTCCCTCACTTCCTGCTGCCTCCTAGCTTCCCTCCGTCTGGGCCTGCCTCAGCCAGGGAGGAGGAGGGAATCTTTGAGGAACCGAGGTGTCACCTGCTGTATTTTCAGTCATGCCTCAGTGACTCCTTCACTTTTTAAGGTTGATCTATTTTAGTCACATCTTACCTGTTACTTCAGCTATCATTATGCTTGTTCTACCATTTGTTCATTGAATTCTAAGTCTATCTCCATTCTTCTTTTACTCACCGGTTTCCCTGTTTTACTCCACTTCATGCCCTCCTCTCATTTTCTTTGTCAGTTATTATTCAGCTGTTTCCTACTTTACTTACTTAAAATATCCACATAGGTTTTTTTTTTTTTTTTTTTTTTTTCATATGATAGCATGAAAGGAGCAACTTAAGATGTGCTCAATGAACTTAAAAAATTTGTTTTCATTGACTTTAACAGAAAGAAAGGGAGGGTGAGACAGAAATAGGAACATCAATGATGAGAGAGAATTGTTGATTGGCCACCCCTGAACACCCCCTACTAGTGTTGGAGCCCACAACCTGGGCATGTGCCCAGACCAGGAACTGATCCATGACCTCTTGGCTCCTGGGTCATAGCTCAACCACTGAGTCACACTGACTAGACTCAATGAACAATTTTAAGATGAAAACATTTTATGCTTTATTTCATATCTCTCATTACAAAATATTTTGTTGAATCCAATATTTCCAAAATACTATCATTTTAACATGCAATTGCTATAAAATTATTAACGAGATATTTTACACACTTTGTCTGTATTAAGTCTTGGAAACCTGCAGTGTATTTTACACAGAGAGCATTTTTAAATTCTTACCAATCACATTTTAAGTGCTTTTCATAGCCATGTATTGGCCACTGTATCGGACAGTATGGATATGGAGGTTTCCTGTTAAGGCAGATGAATATTTAGCTTTTTTTTTTTAATGCAGATTAAGAACATAACCTGTCATCTTTTAAGATTTATTGAGGTATAATGAAACAAAATTGTAAGATACTTAAAAACCTAAACTGTGAGCCCAGTTTAGTGTATAGCAGGATGATTTGACAAATGTATAAATTGTAAAAGATTATTAACACACCCATCACTTCATATATATATCTTTTTATATCTTAAAAAATAACCAACTGAAATGAATGCATTCATTGCCTACTCTCTTAAAGAATGATCATAGACAGTTCAAATTTTCATTCTAACAAGAATTTACCTTAGCTTTAATTTGAGTTATTACATTTGATGTCAAGCAGAGTACATGACTATTCTGTATATCTTAGTAGAGAAATAAAAATAAGTATTTGAGGAATCCTATATAATAAAAGGCTATGCAAATTGCCCCCACAGGGAGTACAACCAAGGAGTTTGACCAGGGGGTGGGGCCAGCCAGCCAACTTCGAGGTTCCCTCTCCCACCACCAGGCCCAACCAGGCCGATCAGGATGGCCTGGTTGGATCCTACCCATGCACGAATTGGTGCACCAGGCCTCTAGTATCATATATGAAAACACTTCTGATTTTGAATTTGTTTCACTATTATTTATGCAACACTATAATCCATGCATTTGTTTCTATAAAGCTACTCTACAGCTTAAAGAACTGCCCTCATAAATTGCAGTTTAAAGGGACCACAGTTGTAGGGTGGGGTGGAGACCAATGCTAGGTGGAGGACCTTAAAAGAGAAGCTAGTCAGTCACACACCTAAACTGCAAGGCTGATCCCATTTTTGATGGTTCCTCTGAATTACTTTGAAACCGGGCTCACATGTTTTTTCATCAAGCAGGGTCTTTTACCATAGGAAGTAAAAACAATAATTTCCTGTCCTTTTTGTCCTTCAGGTTGAAAAACAACTCAACTCAGAGACACTCTTGCAGTGGACCAATCCCAGCACCATGGCCAATACCAAAGTCAAACTATCCATTCCAAAATTTAAGGTGGAAAATATGATTGATCCCAAGGCTAGTCTGGAAAACCTAGGGCTGAAAAGTACCTTTGATGAGAGTACATCTGATTTCTCTGGAATGTCAGAGACCAAGGGAGTGGCGCTCTCCAATGTTATTCACAGAGTGTGCTTAGAGATAAGCGAAGATGGTGGGGATTCCATAGAGGTGCCGGGATCAAGAATCCTACAACACAAAGATGAATTCAGGGCCGACCACCCATTTATTTTCATTGTCAGGCACAACAAAACTCGAAACATCATTTTCTTTGGCAAGTTCTGTTCTCCTTAAGTGGCAGAGTACAGGTTAAGTCCCACCTGACTTTTCTGTAAAATCTACATCCAGAGGATCCCTTCCTAAATATGATAACTTGTTAATATTGTGGGAGGAGGAATGTCTCCTTGTCCTATGTAGCCCTCACACTAATAGGCCTTTCCCTCCCCCCCCCCCCACCTTTTCTTTTATGCCCCCTTTCTACCCATCAAAGACAATACTTCGAATGAAAAGAAAATATGTATTCATTATTTGTCACACTATCTAGGGTTATGGGCAGAAATACGGCCATTCACAAAGAAAATTTCTATAAGGAGCTTTGCCTTCCTTCATTGGGAAACAGATTTTTCCAGATGTTCTCACTTCCCTGAAAGGCTAAAGAAACTGTGGTTTATGAGACCTGACAAACTTTCCTGGTTCCAGAGAAATGTGAGCACATAGTCAGGCTACCGTAGGTCCACACCTCCTATGTTAAACCCTGAGGGGCAAATGTATTTTTCAGGCTCTGATTTTGGGGATGTTTAGAAAGATAATATGTTGCACAAACTGTGTTATGGAAGTCTATTGAAAGAGTCTGAAACAATACCCTATATTGAAGTCATTACCTTGATATTACTTCCATAAAATGTATAATATTGACACAGAACGGATAAAGGTTTTGTTGACAAATGGGATATGACACCAGCTTGTGAACGGGCTTTGTTTTCAGAACGTTTTGAGAATTTGGAATGTTGGCTAAGAAATTGCAGACCTAGTGTAGCTGACTTGCAGCCCCTCAAAGGAAGGTCAGATCTAATTCATTTTCACTTTTGATAGAATGACCACCTGGTTATTTGGTTGGGGACAGACTGATGGCTGGGGCTTCTGACTCAGCAAGGTTTTGGATGTTTGACAGCCAGGGCCTTAAAAAGCACAGGGACCCTCACGGTAGCCAATGAAAGAGTTTTATGAGTGTTGAAGGAACTTGCCTCTTTGCTAATGTGATAGTGGGGAAGGAATAAAACATACACTTTTAGAAAATATATCTAAAGCTACAGAAGTGCTCACATTGCTTTGACATACTTTTTCTAAGACTATGGGTTTAGTTACTATAGATAGCTAGTCCCTTGCATTAATAGTAATTTTAAAAATTGACCTGTTAAGTTATCTATATTAAAAGTTTACATATTAACTTACTATCAAAAGAGCACATTTACTGAAGATTTTTTTGGCAATACATTCTCATCTCTTCCTTGTAAATAGGTTCCACTTTCTTCTTGGAAGGATCCATATAAAATTTCTTTTATGCTATTGACAATAAAATATTATGAAACTACATGTCTTGTTTTTTTCTCCATAAAGTTAGATTTACTATTTTGAAATAGAACCAAGCCATATATTTATGAAAGCATTCCTTTACATAAATGATTTTTTGAAGGATTGATATCAAATAAAAATAATTACTATCTCTGTTCCCCTGTCTTCCTTTCTCTCTGCCCACCAGCTTCCTCCTCCTGGGGTCAAGACTCAGGGGAGTCTAGAAGGACTTTTAGCTACATACAAATATATCATGAAGTGGAGGCCTTAGGGCTCAGCCTCAAAATATAATTTTATCAAGTAAGCTGTATATGCTTAAAATGTTTTCTTATTAAGTACATTTTCCTCAACACCCTGTATATTTGTTCTAAATTACTTATAGTTTCCCTGAATCTAATATTCAACATAGTCATTTTCCTGTCCCCAAAGTATGCCCATATAGAATGTGTCTTCCCTTGCAATAAATGTTAAGTTCCAAAAGTGACAAATGCCCCACATTCTGACAAGAAAAAATCATTTGTGCATGATGGCTGGGGGTGGCCCAAACCACTCTTGGCTCCTTTCCCCCCTTCTCTTGGCTATGAAACAAGAAGTAGTGGGGACTGAAAAGCTTAATGAGTATTTAGAGGGGAGATTAGTGTTGAAGCCAAGTGTTCAAGGAGCATAAAGTCTCTCTTAGAACTTAAAAGCATGAAATTTTTAAAATTAACTCTTGCTTGGGATAGTCTAATCCATTGATTTTTAACCAAGGCCAATTCTGCTCTCTAGGGGACATTTGGCAATGTCCAGGGACATTTTTGTAACAACTAGGAGGAGGGTGCTACAGGCATCTAGTGGGTAGAAGTCAAGAATTTTGCTAAACATCCTACAATACCTGGAACAGAGATAATCACACAACACCAATAGTGGGCAGCTGAGAGACCTAGGTCTCTACTGATCTAAAGGACAGATGCTGGCTGAAGGGGACCCTAAAACAGAGCAAGAACAGCCTGGAGAGGGAGTGGAAGCAGGTCCCTGCTTGCTTCACTACACTGAGATGTGGAGGCAGCCAGGCTTGGTGATTCTGAAATGTGTGGGGTCTCCAAGGCCGCCATAAGAACAACAGTTAAGGAAGGTCCTTACCCCTCACCTCTTTTTCCTTCCCTGGCTCCACAAGTTGAGCCCTGTGGAAGGAGGAGAGTAAGAGCAAGGTGCATAAATGGTGAGGAAGCTGCTTCCACTTCTGTCCCCCTGTGAGGTAGTGAGCCCGAACCAGCTGTGGTGGTTGGAGACGCTCTCAATCAAAAGAACATTTTTCCTGACTGAGTGGCTCAGGGGCTGAGTGTTGACCTATGAACCAGGAGGTCATGGTTCAGTTCAAGATCAGGGCACATGCTCAGGTTGTGGTCTCTATCCCTAGTAGGGGGCATGCAGGAGGCAGCCAATCAATAATTCTCCCTCATCATTGATGTTTCTATCTCTCTCTCCCCCTCCTTCCCTTTCTGAAAAAAAAAAGAAAAAAGAAAAAGAAAAAGAAAAAAAAGAATGATGTACTGATTTAAAAGAAAACTGGGATTTTTCACTTCTGAAAATGTCTTTGTTGTATATGAAAGTGACTGGATGGCATTTAGTTAAGGGGATTTGGTCTCAGAGATGGGAAGGGAATGCAGCAGAATGGGTCTGGAAGGCCCCGGAAACAAAGACTTTAGCTGCATTTCCCAAGCACTCTACCAATAAACTGGCTGCAAGTACATTATCTTATTTACTCAACACAACACATATATGAGGAGGAAACCCTGACCTTTAGAAGTGAGGATACTAAGACACAGAATAGCTGTAAAATCATCTCAAGGTCATAGAGCCAATGGAAGTTGATTGCTAGGTTTGATGTCTAGCCGACTGAGCCCAGAGCTGGAGCTTTGACCTCTGTATTTGATGCCCCCATTTTCCAACCGGCACCCACCCTTGACAGATGGCCACTGGATGTACCTGGAAAAATTCCTCTCTCCTCTATGTCTTCTCTAGTTTGAAATTCTCAAAGATCCATTTCATCCTGGTAGTCCTTTTCTGTCAACCAAAACATCTACAGGTGTAACTGCCTGAGTAGGTCCATTTGTAGAAACTCTTTTGAGAGCCAGGTGTTGTACGTGAAGGTGCTTTATGGACTTTACTCTGTTTGCTCATTTACACAATATCCTGTTAGGGGCTAGTTCATCTATTAATCTATTTCATGAGCAAATATGGGTTCAAAGGAGTTAATAAAGAACCAAATTGGTGAGCAGCAGGATTCAGCTGCAGCTCTGTCTGACCCCAAAGTCCACACTCATTTGAACTATGACTTATGGCCTTTGGATCACACATTGGGGCAGGCTCCTCTGGATGGCTTTGCTTAAGTCTTGTATCACATGGGCCCCCTGTCTACCCATTGTTGCCAAAGTCATCAGTCTGTCCCTGTCCTTTAGGAAAAAATATAGAAGACAAACACCTTGCCCTGCGGGACATCAGGAGCATTAGGTCCTCTTTCCTTCCCTGAGAGCCCAAGGCTACCTGGCAGCTACTGGCAGATAGTGGACTTCTGCCTCAGCTGGCTGGGCCCAGAAAGCACTGAGGAGGAAGTGGGATTTTGGAAGGGCCTGGAGCCTCAGTCTCATGTGGACCGACAGAGAGAGGGAAGGGAGTCCACAAAAGAAAGACATGTACTCATTAGTTATGGAAAGAAAATAAAATGATGCACGTGAGGCTCAGAGTGGTTGTAGAATCTGAAGGAAAAAGCAGGAGTTAAGATTGAAATTGTGGCTGTGGTATGGGCACTGGTGGCTAGGTGGTCTGATGATGGCAGTGGCCAAGGCTGAGGTGTTACATCAGAGCTGCCTTTCAATGGTCCTAACAAAACTGGAGCTATAAAAATATTATATCTATCTATCTATCTATCTATCTATCTATCTATCTATCTATCTGAACACACACACACACACACACACACACACACACACCTACTTCAGAATGGGATTTCTGAGTCATACATGGTACAAACATTCAATTTTGGTAGAAACTGCCAAAGAGTTTTCCAAAGTGGTTTTCCTTGATTATTATTATCAATGGTTACCAATATTTCTATTTTTCATGGATTGTTACTTATTATTTTATCTTTTTTTATTAGTAAATAATAATTGATTTAAAAGTAATATTAAAATAATTATTATTAATGATTGCTTTTCCAACTAGGAATCTTCTCAACCCTACTGCCAGCATGACATTTTAAAGTTCAGCTTCCACAACAGGCCCATGAGGACCTGTTTGAGGTGGAGGGTACTGAGAGGAGAGACAGGAAGAAACTTGCTAAGCACACATGGCTGAGTTTTGTGGTTAGGATTTAACCTCCGACTCTGATTCCAGAGCTCCCACGTTTAATCTTCATGTATTTGATTACATGAAAACTTTTTACTTGGTGAATTAAACCATTTACCTACAGGGGCAGATTTACTTCTGTTTATGTTAAAAATGAAATATTAGGTTAAATACAAGACAATGAATGTAGATAAAGAAAAAGCTCAGCTAAATATTTATAGATTGAGCAAACTTTCGAGGAGTGTTTACTTTTCAAACATTTCTGGTTCAGTCTAATACGCTTTCTGTAATTGTGAGCTTTTCCCCTCAGGGATCATATTCAGTCAACTGTATGGCATTTTCTATTCCCACCAGATTTGAAAGGCTTCCTTTTTTTAGTTTTAGGTCTTTGAACT